ATTATCTCATAAACGCAATTATTTTTTTTATTCAAATCATTCTTAGAACAAAAAAAATAGTTTAATGGAGGAAGAAGATTTGTAATAGGAATACATCAGGCTACAAGTTATAAAACTGTAAGTTTTTAGTTTCTTCACATATAAATTTTTTCTTCAAAGTATCTGAACCATTTTAATCTATGTGGCTTTTTTTTTTTTTTTTTTTTTTGGTCTTACTTAACTATATTTATGGGAGAGCCAATAATTCAAGTTAGGAGGGGCAAAATTGAAAAATTAATGTCTCCGTTTGGTTAGTTATTTAGAATAGCATTCTATAGTAAATTGCATTTTTGGAAAGTAGGATAGAATTCTAAGAAGGTTTTTGTACATTTACGAATAGCATTTTCTAAAAATATTTAAATCATTTTTAACCTCATAGGTTTGTTAATTTAACTAAACACCCCCGACAATAAAAGTTATAAATTAACAAAAACATCTCCACCCACCCACATAATATCGGCAGCCAGCCATCACCGCCGAAGGGTGACTGAAATGGTGCATGACTGGTTGGATTTGACCAATCGTGCACTGATCTGCCCTGAAAATGTTAGATCTACGGCCACAGATCAGGCCATTGACGACCAAACAATAGCTAAGATATTTGGCCGTTAACAACAGACATGATATGGCCATAGTTTGGCCGTTGTTTGGCCATCAACGACTGCCAAGATATGACCGTCGTCAACAACTAGATCTTTGACCGTAGAACTAGCCGTTTTTTTGCCAAATCTATAGTGGATCTTGCCGAAAATGGATAGATAGGCGCACGACTGGCCAGATCCAGCTGGTTGTATGTCGTTGCGGCGTCGACAATGGTTGCTGGCGAGTGATACTACTTGGGGGGATGGGAGTGTTTTTGTTAATTTTAAAACTTTTATTGAGAAAGGTAATTGTTAATATTTTAAGTTGAAAAGAATAGAATTGGATTTTGAAGAATATTAAAAACAATTGCATTTTTGGTTTTTAGGATAGAATAGTGGGAGAAGAGTGTGTCAAACGGACCCTATAGTTTATTTTATTTTCATAATCATAGTTTTAATATTTATTAATAATATTTTTTGTTCAATACAATTATAATTTTCCTAACCTAAGGAAACCCATAAAAAAATCCTAAAATTTTTAGAGGTAAGTTAAATTAAAAAAATAAAAAAACTGAATAGAATATGATTCATATGGTAATAATGTACAACTTCATTTATATTGTTTTTGGGTTACTTATTGGATTGGGGAATTCCATTTGTATATGATAGGTCTTGTTTATAATCTAAAAATTTATTTGGTTTGCTTTTAAAGTTAATTATTGGATTGGGTAAAACTTTTTTAAAATATGTTTTTGTGTCTCATTATTTGAGGGGCTAGTTTTAGTTATATAGACATTGTGGGACTAACTATAAAATATTATTTTATTTTATTTTTAATCGCATGGAGGGTACATTGGCCCCGCCATGGACTGTATTATATTCTTGAGATTATTTGTAAATATTTTTATTTTATTTTTAGTTTAAAATTTTTAACTTTCAATTTAATTAGCTAAAATTTTATTTTAGGAATAACGACGATTGACAATATATGGTATAAGTGAAAGGAATGAAATGTTAATTCTTTTAAAATTATAATAAAAAAATGGAATAAGAGAATTTGTGGAATTTTTTTTTAATATTAGAAAATAATTATTTTCTATCAACCAAACAAAATCTAAGTGACACTAAAAACTACTTTTCAAGTAATGTAAATAATTAAAGGTGTGCTCATAAACATTTATTATAAATAATAATGTAGTGTTTATCTTAACCGGTAATGTTATCGAATCAATTCAATTCTATAAAAAATTAAATAAGTAAATAAATAAATGGGGTGTTGCCTCACAGCCTTAATAAAGTAGCATTTCCCCTTTAATTAAATACAAAAAATTTAAAAATAATCTCATAAAATAAACAAAAGCTACCATGAAGAATGAAATGAGCTTTGGATTCCCCTAATGAACTATAACTTTAGCTCGCCTCCACAAATCTAGTCGTACACTTGGAACTAGTCAAGCTGAGGATTCAATAAACAAAATCAAAAAAGCCCCTTTTTAAGGGTAAAATTGAAATTTAACATTTTCTTATTTGTTTAGTAGATAAGACTTTCGTCTAATTTCTTTCCATTTTTACACTTTATACTCTAACAAGGAAAGCCACTCTGGCGCACAAGTAAAAACATTTATTATTCCTTCACAAAACCTTATATAATTAGTTGATTTATTTGTTAGTTTAAATAAATTTAACAATTAATTTTTAACGCTAATTTAGAGAATAATTAAAAAAATATTTTTTTGTACTTGAGTGGTGCCCGTCCCATGCTAACGTTAAGAGTCGCTAGAGTGAATGCATAAAAGTTGTGTTGGGTAAAAATGAATAAAAAGTTTTATCTAGTAGACCAATAAAAAAGTAAATTAACCACTATTGGGTGGTCCAACAGTCAATTATGATTTTTGGATGTATTTTTCAAGAGGTCCTAAATTATTAATAGGGGTGGTTACTAAGGGGATTTATCCAACTGTCAATTTATGGGCAAAACGTAAATATTAATTATGCAAATCCATTTATTTATTAAAATTAGTTAAAAGTTTGATGTTATAGCATAGGAAGTTAGGACTAATTTTAAACTTGAAAATTTTGACAAATCATTGAAACGGAAATAAAATATGCTTAACACTTCTAAGTTCTAACTATTTATAAATGTTTGGAGAATGACATTTTTTAATTATTACTTTATATTAGTTTATTGATGAATTTCACACTTTCACCTTCTAATACCTTAACTAAATAGTGGATTAAAATTTTAGTAAATTAATTAATTATATTTTAACCATAGAATCACATCTTACAGAGAATATTATCACTTTATTCTGTAGATTAGTTTATATACCTTCATACATTAATACAATGAATTCCAACATTTTTTTTTAAACTTTGAGGAAAAGTTCAACATTTCCACTTGTTGATTATTAAGATTCATTGCCATGATTATATAAATTGATCTTAGACTAGTTTGGAGTTGTTGTAGCTTCTCACTTAGTTATTTATAAGTAATTTTTAGAAATAATCAATTTTATATAAAATCTACGATCATTTTATTTTAGTTAAAATTCAAGATTACTTTTATATGAGCAAAAAACCGTATTGGGTTATGGCTGAACCCAATCGCAGTTGGCTCTATGCCATGGCCCACAAACAGTCGGCTCTATGTCATGACCCAACTCTAGTTGGTTCTACACCTAAGTCCATCCCTTAGAAGGTTCAATCTACGAGGTGGCCTATTTTATAAGCTAGTCCACTCTATGAGTCGGCCCACTACACGTGTTGGACTACTCTATGACTTGGGACGATCTGGTTTGCTTAACAAGTAGAGTCGCTTTATGGGTTGGACTATCATAGCTTCAGCCCATCAATTGCACGACCTGTCGTTGACTTTACGGATTGGACCTCATGATTGAGTCACAACTAGACTATGGGTCTTGAACCACGTAGCGCAATACTCCCAGAGGGGGGGGGGGAGGGGAGGGGGAGGAGGAGGAGGAGAAGGGGAGAGGAGGGAAGTGGGGAGGGATTGGTTGGTTATATACCTTTACTAGGTCAATAGATGTAGAGGCAACCTAACTCCTCAACGGGACTCCAAATCCTATGGAAGCTCTAATCACTCTAACTTGCTATAAATACCGAGGTTAACCCTCTCAGAAAGGACATGAGAACTTACTCTGAAATCCTCTCTCTCACTCTCTTATTCTTTCTCTCTCATAAACCACCACTCCAAACAATAGAGTCAAGTTTTGACCACTCTACGTCGATAGTGATACCTTAGCTTCACGATCACAGTGAACCTTATAACACTATCTCATTCTTTATCCCATTGAATACTTATCATAATCATATTGACTTGAACGTCAAAATGTCTACGGCTGACACCATACCACTGTCAAGAACTTTGTGTTCACCCTTTTGTGTCTCTATTCATACGTCTACAAGGTTTTCAATGGCCTGTTCCTCATAGTATCATCCTTATAGGATTATCCTTATAGGATCATCTTCACAAACATCTATGGTAGATTTCGACCTTCAACAACTTTTGTTTTAAGACAATGAATATTGGTATGTGTAAGATGACTAAAATAGTTTTTCATATAATAACTAATAAATAGTTTATTTTTAAAATATATTAATAATAATAAATTTTCAAAATAAAAAACTTTAAATTATAATAAAATAAAAAACTTTTTAACTACATCGCCGGCATACCTAAAATCACCGTTAAAGACACAACCAACACTAAATTTGGATGTAGCAAACCGAGAAAACATGACCGAATCTCTTTGGACCTGCTTAATAATGACATTGGATTCTTGTTTATTGCACATAATCCCTTTTAATTTATTAAAATAAATAATACATACTGTAATCTGAATACAACTTAATTATAAAAATCCAATATACTTGAATACGGTACAACAAAATCCACGAATTTATCCTAGTAAATATGTTTAGAAATAGAATTATTGTATTACCTACACAATAATCACCTTCAACTATTAAATCATCCCCTCAATTATTAATTGTACTTTCTTATTCACGAGAGCCAAACCAACTCTGTACGTATTAAATTTGTGTTCAGTATTAACTATTAAGTACCTAAATTGAACCAGAAGCCAGGTCAAAAGTCAAAACTCTACCAATCTCTGCCACACTTTACAAAAGTAGATATTTCTTCTCACGCCCCACAACAGTCACCAAATTAAAATTCCAACAGAAACCCGCCCAAATATTTTCAAAATATTTAATTTCCGCAACATGTTGCCAGTGCTGCACAAATTAAATACCCCTTTTTTAACAAAGAAAAAGCTAATCTGCAACACCAACTTTTTACCCATTTTTTTAATTTTAAAAAATGAAAAGCAAAAGTAAAAAATTAAATAAAGACAGGAATTAAAAAAAGAAGAGAAAAAGCCTAAACAGCCGCTGAACAATTTTTACAGGCAAATTACATCCACATTACAACACTCACCACTACATAAATTAAAATTAAATTAAGATTAAAGATTAATTAAAGCTAAAACATCAATTAGTAGAAACTAAACTAACACACTAAACAACCTAATCCTCTCTCTCTCTCTCTCTCTCTTTTCTTTTTTGAACTTTTGTTTTTTCTGTCAACCAGCCACCGGCGCCACTGCCGGCTTCACCTTCGGCGGCCGTCCTCTCCCTCTCGGCGGACCGGTTTTGTTAGTCGCAGCTGAAGGCGTGGCAGCGGGGGTTGTCTTGGCCTTCTTCGGAGGTCTCCCACGTGGCCTTACGCTCCCGGTTGGGCTCTTCTGTTTAGGTGGAGCTGGTGGAGCGAAGGGATCTCTTGACTTGGGTGGACGTCCACGTGGCCTGGGTGGGGAAATCACAGTGCCTGGTGGCAACGGAGCCTTCGGCTTCGGTGGACGGCCGCGTCCCCTCTTGGGCGGCGCGTTGGGGTCCGGCTTCATGTAGTTGTTCTTCACCATAACGAGCTGGCCGCTTCCTTTCATCTTGTTTAGGTGATGAGAGAGCAGTGTAGAGTGAGCCGCTGGCAGATCCGGGTATGTTGACTCCATTTGCTTCGAGATCGCCGCTTTAGACGAGCCGGTCTTCTCATTCAACGCCTCAATTGCAGCCATAATCATCTGATATAAACAAAATTATTCAAACAAAAATCTAGTTATTACCTGCACTTCTTCAAGAAAAAACACAATTATCTCAAAATGAAAATAATTTTTTTTGTAAATTTCTATACCTCCGGATATTGCGGGAGAGTAGATGGCTGTTGCTGCGGTTGTAAAATCGGCAGTTGCTGCTGCGGTGGAGGTGGGTTGAGGGAATCTTCGGTGGAAGCCATGAGTGTTTTGTGTGTGAGAGAGAGAGAGAGAGAGAGAGAGAGTTTTGTTTAGGGACTGTTTGGTGTGAGTTTGAAGAAGGGTAAAGTGTGGGGATTTAAAAGGTTGGTTTTTCTTGAGGTTTTGATTCGACGGAACAACGGCATGGGGATGAGGAGTGCTTGGGTCACTAATCCAACGGTTGGGGGATAATAGTTTGTGAAACGATCTGATGGTCGTTGTTAGTTTGAAGTATTTTCACCTGGATTGATGACGTGGGTTCGGACACCCATGGTATTTGCCGGTTTGGTCTTGATGATTTGACGGTTTTGGACATGTTTTTGAATTGATCCCTTATCTCTAGCGTTTCAAAGTTTATTTAGCAATGTTTACGTGTGAAGCAGCAGCGTTCGTTGTTTGTCGTGGCCTTTTCTTATTGGATGGCTTAGAAGAAGAGAGAATCATTGTTTTTGATTGACGGATAAGATGACGACACGTCGTGAAGCTCACGTGGGATATGCTTCATCTGATTTTCGAATTTAAGGACCCAGATCCAGCATCCAAGTGCGGAAATAGTGGGGCCCACACTTGGACCGTGTAAGGCTGTAAGCGGATGACGAAGAGCTATGATCGCGTGGGAATGAGGCTTACAACATTACCATGGAGGAGCGTGCAGAGGATACAAGAAATTGAATAGTTAGTCAGCTTGGAGTTGACTTTATCCAATAGTACGGTAGGCTTCATTGTACGCCATCATAGCTCTCTGCCTAAGATTCAAAGGTTTCCGACCGTACAATTATTTATATCTGGACGAATAGACGATGTTTTGTGGATAGACATGTATGGATCTGACCTGTTGCCCCCTCGTATTAAAAAAATAAATAAATGTTAATTAAATCCACTTGTAAATTTCAAAAAGGGCCTTTCAGAATTAGGTTCTTTTTCATTTTAAAGATATGAGCTCACTTTAAATGGAGGTCTATGGATAAATAAATAGCCGGTTATAGACTTTGATTTACAAAAATACCCTTATTCGTTACTTGCATGAGATATTGATATGTAGGAATGTGAAATTAGAAATGTGTTTTACTAATAAATTAAAAAAATAATTTAATTTTTAAAACACACAAAATCAATAAAATTTTAACTTCACGAGAAAATTTCAAGTATTAAATACTTTGACGTGATTTTAATAACAATGAATATAATATGAGTTTTACCGAATATTAAATAAGTTTATGCATCCACAATCTAATCGAATTACTTAAAATCAATGATCATCTCTATGACCATGATGAATTTCATAATGAGTAAACCATTTTCAATTAAGTATATAAATTAATCAATATGATTTATATAAATTAGCAACTAATTAATCAATACAAAATCGTATTAGAGGATTCTCAACATTGGGTTGGATGAGACAAAGGAAAAAGGGGTATTTTTGTAAATCAAATATTAAACAAACTTGAACGATAACATCTAGAAGAGATGTTCAACTATAATCTTATATTTAAAGTTGGGTAAAAACAAAAGCAAAAGAAAAAAAATAATTTCGAAGTTATTTTTAACGATTTAATTTATATATCTATATAACCCTGAGGTGCACCTTCTTTATTAATGACCATTTAAACTCCACATAAGATCCCACTTAAGATGTCACATAGGAGTTCTATAATTATTACAAGTGTCTATAATTAATATGTTAGGATGTGATTGGTTAATAGTTAGTGGATGTAATTGAAAGTTAAATGAACCATTCAACTTCAAATTAAAAGTGAAAATATTTATAGGCTTGTTTGGCTTATTATTTTTATCCATATTCCTAATCCTATTCTCCAAATAATGTTTGGCATATTATTCCAGAAATATTATCCTATTTTTTAATTACTTTTAGACTCCATAAGGTTATTAATTTCATCAAATACACCCTGAAAAAAAGTTTAAAAATTATCAAAAACACCCCTGCGACCCATATTTGCCAGATTCCGGCAACCACCGTCGGTGGTAGGTGGAATCTATACAACGGCCTACCTGCCGACCAGAAATGGCCGAAAGTTCACCGATCTAGCCTTTTTCAGCCAGATCCACCATGGATCTGGCTGAAAAAGGCCAGATCTGGCCGTGAAGATGGCTGTCGTTTTGGCCTTTTTCGGCCGTCGCGATCACAACAGGCCATAGATCTTACCTTTTCTGGCCAGATCCGTGGTGGATCTGGTCGGAAAAGGCCATAACGACGCGTTATGACATAGATCTGATCGGTCTGTGTCGTAACACGATTTTTCGATCAGATTCCTGCGGTGGTGGCCGGAATCTGGCGCTGCAGGTGGTGGGGGTGTTTTTGTCATCCTATATATTAGGGTATTTAATTAAATTAGCAAACCTATGGGCTTTTTCATAAATTTTTAAATTTTACCTCGTAATACTCTCCTATCCAACTATCTAATATTATTCCCAAAATCCCATCCAAAATAATAAACAAATGCACCCTATATATCTATATCACATTCTCATTAATACTAATACTTCACCTCCCAAATTTTAATCATAAAGAATTGTATTCAATTAATATATCTATATAATCCTGAGGTCCACCTTCTTTATTAATGACTATTTGAACTTCACATAAGATTCCATGTAAGATGCCACCTAGGATCTTAGGAGTTCTATAATTATTACAAGTATCTGTAATTAATGTGTTAGGATGTGATTGGTTGATGGTTAGTGGATGTAATTGAAAGTTAAATGAACCATTCAACTTCAAATTAAAAGTAAAAATATTTATATATCTATATCACATTCTCATTAATACTAACTCTTGACCTCCCAAACTCTAATCATAAAGAATTGTATTCAATTAATGACATATTAATAAAATAGTGATTTTATTTTATTGGATATACCAAAGGTTTAATTCCTCCACATTCGACTCTTAGATGCAAACACTTTATGAATATGTGAAATATATCGGTAGGATTCCAGTTGCAACTCTAAAATTGCTATTTATTAGTATTAATAGCTCATATTGGACATTCAAATGTCTAATTAAAAGATATATAGATTCATATTAATCCATTCACATTTATCTAAATATTAATAACAATTATATAATCACATCTCAAAGGTCTTAAGAAAACTTTGTTTATATATATATATATATATGTTTGTTCCCTCACTTCACTTAAATTTAAACTATTGATATTGTCATTATTTCTGTTATTCAAGATTTAATATATTATTGGAATTGTTTTTGACTTTTTATTGTTGATATGTTCCTTTCTAATGTTTTCTCTCTATCTTAATTTACGACTACGCACAGCTCTATATCCAAAGCAAATACTTGGTTTCAGGTAACGTAGCCTCATCTAAAAGGGTTTTCTTTCTCTAATATTAGAAGGGTTTTATAGTTATATTGACTGAATCAGTATGCAGTTTTATGAGTCTCAAAGTTCACTGTGATACTTCATAAATTCAAGAACTTAAGTTTTTAACTGAAAGGTATTTTTTTTTTTTAAGTTAAGTAACGAGGAAGTAGCTTTATGGTATAAGGGGTTCAATTGTTTTCTTCAGTTGGGTTAAATGCTCTCAAAGTTGGTTGATTTCGAAATGCTACATCAAGGTGCATGAGCGGGAGAAAGCGAAGCAATCAATTGAAAACACTTCCAGCACTGAAGACATAAGGCAAAGGTATAATAATAATTAGCCGAGAATGCATATACAATAGACGAACTTAGAATCCGGGCATTTTTTGTTATATAATGATGATGTTTTTATTATACGGAACTGAAAGAATGGCGGAGTTCATAAAGCTACAAGACAAAGAAATGGAAGTGTTCGAGAAGAAGAGTCAGAAAGGAGGTATTCAAAATCAGCGATGAAAAGTTGGCAGGTTTTACGAAGAACAGTGTGACATCGAGAATGAATGCAGTGCGATGCTGAGCAGATTGATGGAGGAATACGCCCACATTCAGGATTCGTACCTTTTGAACGATGAATACTCTGAAATTGTGTTTGGGAAAGAAGAACATGGTTGTTAGATCATTTTTAGATTTTTTTAAGATAAAATAATGTCATTATTTAATATACAAATAATGCATTAGTTTTAGCAGAGTATTCTAAATTTAAATATAGAATACTCTGTATATATATTATCTAATGTATTAGATACTGAAATTGCCTGTAAATGATAAACTACAAATAAAAATTTAACATTTTAGTTGATTAGTAAAATGTTATTGAATTTTCAACTTGTAATTAAAATAAATCTTTACACCTACATTAAATATATATTTAAAATTTGTACAAATTTAATACTCAGTATTTGGTATATTATATTTTTATAATTTATTTCTTTAATTATCAATTCAATATAAAATTAACTTTAATATAAATAATTTAATGCCACACAAACAATTAATAATAATGTAAAAAATATATATATATATATATAAACATACCTACGCAATGCGCAGGCTTTGAAGCACACCCTTGCTATTGCTTGCCATGTAGGATTGCTGAAAATTCTATAATTGTAGTCACTTGCTGAACCATTCTGTTTAATTGTAAGAGTCGAGATGCAAAGCTATTTAGATTGTACAATACAATTACAATAGACCATTTGCCAAACATTATCCATTAACAATTGTAATATTGTAATGTCCTTTTTAGTTAATACTATATGAAAAGTTTATTTCATGCCGTTCATCATAATTGCTGCAAGCAAGTTGCTGCACAAAATACGATCAATAAACATATCAAAGGAAGATTGTATTATAGAATTACAAGAGACCAAATGTTGAACCATTATTCATTAATTGTACTATAGAATTGTAACAGTCAGTAGTAAATTGGTCATAACTTACTCACTAAAAATCTAATTGACGAGTAGTTTGAATCTTTGGAAACTAGATAGACAGAGCTTTAATTTGATATATTATATGCTGAATTTGGATACCTATAGACCCATTGCCGAATAATTCATTTTATCATCTTACACATTTTGGTTTCCCTCGTTTCTCGGTTTTCACTTAACAATCAATAGTAAATTGACCATAAATTGCTCAATAAAATCCAATTGACAAATGGTTTGAATATTTGGAAACTAGACAAACAAGGCTTTAATTTGAT